TTTTAATCATCACTTTCTTGAGCCAGCAAAGCCCCAACAGAGCATTCTTGTGCTGCTATGTAAAGAATGAGAGGACGACCAGACACTGGCGCAAATAACACATGAGACTTCATCAGATATGCCTTTATGCTTTCAAAAGCATTTATACAAGATTGGTCCCATTCAAATGGAACACCTTTCTTCATAAGACGACTAAAAGCTTGGCATCATCCGACTAGATTTGTGATAAACCTTCGAAGATATGCCAACTTTCCTTGCAAACTTTTAAGCTCGTGAATGTTGTGAGGTTCAGGCATTCTTAGTATTGCATCAACTTTTGCTTGCTCAATCTCTATTCGACGGTGACGAACAACGAACCCAAGAAACTTCCCCAACTTGTCGCCCTATGCACACTTCAGCGGATTCATCTTGAGTTGATATCTTCTTAGGCGTTCAAAAACTATCCTCAAATATTTTAGGTGGTCTTCTCGTTACTTCGACTTTACCACAACATCATCAACATAGAACTTGATGTTCATATGGAGTATGTCATCAAATATCTTTCACATTGCCCTTTAATACGTAGCCCTAGCGTTCTTCAAGCCAAATGGCATCACCTTGTAGTAGTATATACCTTTCGGGGTGTGGAATACCGTCAACTCTTCGTCTTTTGGCGACATGCGTATTTGATTGTATCTTCATGACCCATCCATAAAATACAATGCCTCATGGCCAGCCGTAGCTTCAATCATAAGTTTAGTTATAGGCAACGAAAAGTCATCCTTGGGACACGTCTTGTTAAGGTCTCAAAAATCCACACATACTCGAATTTGACCATTTTTCTTCCTAACAAGAATGATGCTAGAGATAAATGTAGGATATTTGACTTCTCGAATGAATCCAACTTCAATGAGCTTATTCACTTCAGCCTCAATTAATGGGATCAACTCGGGTCGAAATCTCCCTTGTGCTTTTTTAACAGATCTTGCCCTCTTTGGTCTAGTCCAGACATCTCTTTACACGGCCATGCAAACACATCCTTAAACTCACCAAGGAGCTCGATGTAAGTGTCCTCGTTCTCTCAATGTAAGTTTTGGAAGAGACATTGTTCGAGTTCCACAAAGTGATGCGTCGGTCGAACAGAGGGTTGCGAGGAGGATTTGAGTCTCGAAGGAAGAGCCTCAAGCCATGGAGTGATTCCTAGGGAAAAGGAACATCAGGCTGGACATATATGTACTTGCGTTTCCACTTAGGAACATTGGAGGGAATGCTAGATAAAAAATGGTTGTTATTCTAGCTTTTTAAGATGAGGTCGATTCGACCTAGAAGAAAAAGATAAAGTGGTCATATGTTGAATTGAATTAGGGGGAAGTTGGTTCAACAGACCAAATTTCTTGCATAGTTCGAGTAACGCGGGCCAAAGAGGAAAGCGAAGACCTAGCTGGAATTAGCTTTGGAAAAAAGTATAACAGCCGCCGGAAGGTCGATCATAGGTGTTCGTGGCCCTTGGACTGCAGAATGCCCAATTAGGAGGATGGTCGATTTCATCAAGGTCATCCACCCACCCAACCCGGTGAGGACGAGAGCGTGAGGATTTGGCTTGAGAAGGAGAAAGGGGGCGGTCAATAGAAGGGCCAACTTCAAAGGTTGAAATAGGAGAGGGATTGGGCGAAGATATTGGATTGGGTTGAAGGACCTCATGGTCTTCTTCCTCTGTTTCCTCAGACTCGTCGTACAGCCGAAAAGGGGTGAGGGCGACAAAGGGGTAGAAGGTTCTCATGTACGTCCTCATCAGACTTATCGACCAGGTGGAGAGGACAACAAGGAGGTGAAGAATTGGGTGAAGTCGTATAGGTACGATAAGTTTGAATAAGAATTTGGGGGTGGAGGATAGAAATAGGCTTTGGCTGAAGGATCTCTTGAACGGATGTGGTCGGAGAATAGGGTTGATGTTGAGGGGTCAAGGAGAAGGACGGAGGAGTCATATCATTGCCGGAAAAGTGGTCGTTGTCACTGGAAGTGCCAGAATCTAGAGATAGCAAAACTCAAAAATAAAAAAAATAAAAAAAAGAGGAATTTTAAGGTACAGGGGCGGAGAAGAATGCAAGGAAAATGAAGTTATGGCCAACAGATCGAACGAAAATTCTAAAAGAGTAAAATTGAATAATTTAAACAAAAAGAAAAAAATTTGAGATCGAAGTACTTACTCATCTTCGCAGATTGGAGAAAGATCGGTCGGAAAAGCAGCAAAAGACTGGTGAATTAAGTCGGAGAGACAAGAATCGCGCTGGAAGAACGGGAAAATTGTAGGGAAGCAGAAAAGAGTGTACATAAAATTTGCAAAGGTGAAAAAAAAAAGCCAAGGTTAAGGCTTTTTATAAGCAAGAAGGTGGGTACGTGGAAAGGTCGGTTGAGCTAAGACCGTTGGATGAAAAAAGGGATTAACGGCGAAGATTTTGGATAAGCGAAGGTGAAGGGGTAGGCCTTTAGGGCCGTGGTATGGGATAGAGAGTTAGCGGATCAGATGCGGCGGCTAGGTGAAAAGACACTCGATCATGAACCGTCGGATTAAAGGTGTTAATCCAACGGTCGGTTTAAATAGAGAATTTAATGGGAATAGTGCACGAGGCAGCGCAATTCACGGGGCAGTGACATCAACTTGATGTTTCGATTGACGGGTCTGACAGAAACGCAGGCCCAATGGGACGGAGATTTGAAATTCGAATTTTAAAGTGAAGGCCATGGAGAGAAGAGACCGACAAACATACAATAAGTAACATGCTGGTTGAAAAGATACGTTAGAGCAATAGGGGAAGAACTGCAGACAGACATGTCAAAAATTCAGGAGCAGAGCATACCAATTAAAGACGAGAAAAAACATATACTCTTGGATTGAATCATTCCAACTCGATCAGAATGGAGGGACTAGATGATATGGGATACTTTACCTAAGGGAATGAACCGATCAACTTGGCCGAATGAGCTGCTTGGTCGAGCAGAATCATCATTAGGGTCAGTGGTGGTCGAACATTACCGGTACAAGACTAAGAGTCTTCGATATGGAGACAGCTTAAAGGGTACATGATAACAACATTAGGTCGAGTTAGGGCCCTCGGCTGGTCTTATAGAAGCTCGACCTGTAGGTACAGTTGGTCGGATGATCGACCAGAGGGGACAACACTCGGCTCAGGACAGTCAATATTCTACCTCAACAAGCCTCAATTTGATTACGCCATCAAGTGGTTTGATACGAAGGATTAAAGGATAAGAAGGAATCTTGTGATAATTAATACTGCACATGAGCAAGGATACGTGACGTTACCTGATTAGTCCTCTCCACATAACCGCCTCTGACATTCTGAGTATTGAGGTTGTACTATCCGGCAGCTCGGGCAGCCAGCTCACCCATTTCAAATAGGCTTCTAGAAGCAGGTAACACACGTCTATAAATATAAGAGGGAGTTTAGCCATTACGTATGTTATTCATACATTATATACTCTTTACACTTCATCTTCTACAAGTAGTCAATTAAGTATCAAAGACTCTTCACTGAAAAACCCTCCGTTGTGAGAGTTTTTGCAGGTCTAAAGGCGTTCAACCAACGGAGGAGCTCAAACGCAAGCCGATCTCAATCGGTCGGAGGTCTTTTACGTACCAGTAAATACGCCAGAATATTACGTATATAGTTTCTTAAGTTTACAGAGACTGGAAAAAGACAAAAAATTGGGGGAGACCAATTTATTGGGCTGAAACTGCTAGGTCAAAAAGTCGAGCGATTCACGGCCATTGGATCATAGGTCGATACGGTGAAGATGACGCCTTTTGGTATGCGAAGCGTCGTAGGTATTCAAGTGTGGTGCCTCGGTATGCAAAGCGGTGTTGGTACTTGAGTGTACCTGCTAATGATGTGTGTAAGTTATTCATGCATTTAATGTCTGACGCAAATGTTCTGATCCAGACATTTAATGCATGTCGAATCCTCTTGCAGGCATTTTTGACCACACGTGTTTGATCTTGTGTGCTCATAAATAGGGAGAGTAATTTTAATTTAATAGGGCAGAAATGGGAATCAATTAAGCATTAAAAAAAAAAAAGAAAAAGAAATAGCTTGTTGTATCTCAATAGATGATTATGAAGAATAGATAGAATTATACTACCTCCTATTCTTTTTTAATGTCATTTTCGCTTTATCAACCATTAACCAAATAAATGACGTTTTGGATCTTTTGTACATATTTTTCCATTATTACCCCCATTTAGCTAATAAATACACTGTCTTTTCACATTCACTCTTCATTTTTTGTCAAAACATCCATCTCTATCCTCATTAATGAGGGTTATTATTGACAGAAAGATATTCTTAATTACTGTGCAACTTCTCAAAACGACACTAATTATGAATAGAAGGGAGTATGTTTTTTACATTTTATGGTTGTACTAATAAATCTGAAGATATCCTAATAGGCAATTGATTAGGAATACTAATTAATTATTGGTCTAGTCTTGCCTATGTAGTATGTAAATAAACTCAAGTCTTGGATGACATAGATAAAACTATGTAAAATTAACAAAATCCACTCCAATGCAAAGAGATTAGGTCTCTACTTGGGTCTAAATTAGACTTAAGGATAAACCAGGTCTCTTTTTCTAGTTGCCACATCAGCAAGACCCAGTTTAATTTTATTTGCATTGGAGAATTTATTTATTTAGACTAGGTCTATTTCTTAAGAATGCATATAATTTTATGGTATCGAACCCAAAACGTCGTGGATGGTCTAATGTTTTCAAATGACATTTAAATCATCTTTCCGTAAAGGTAAAAATCTATTGTAGTCCATCAATGTGGGAAAGTATTAATCATGTACATCTTTCAATACCAATAATCTTAATCAAAACACTGCAAATTCTAATTATTAATTCTTTTCCAAACTAGTTTTGAATGGAGATGAACAAATCTATTAAATCCGCAGCTAGCACTACCCAACAACCTAGTATAGAGGCGACAAAGTTAAAAAAAAACATGGCCAATATTCCCATACGCATCCAATTTTGGGTGATGGCCCTCATGATGGGCGGATGTATGGGTATGATGATGAACAACACTGAGTTGGCCTTATTTGGTCGTCATAAGCCTCCTCCGCCACCATCCGGCTTTAAGCAGCGCTCAAGTGACATGGTCAGTTTTATAAGGTACTGCGCCACGTATATGCATAGGTTTTCACCCAGATTCCATAGACCCAACAACAAATGCTGCGAAATTGCCCGGAAAGTGAGTATTCCACTGTTTTGCAAGATTTTCCTAATACCGGAGACGCATATGATATTCAGCGCTAGTAAAGTGGTAATCATTGCAAAAGATTGTGGCAAGCCTCTCCGTCGTCATTCATGGTGTGGAAGTAAGTCCAATCTTTTTTATTACCCTATATTTCTTTTCTTTTTTTCATGCACTATAAGAAAAATAATGAAATTACAATGAAAATTTCAACAGAAATATATTCAACAATGAAAATTCCAAGGAAAATTTTTCTTTGGAATTGAATGACTTTAAGCATATAACAACATTTGAGAAAAGTGTAATTATTTATTTATTGACATTATTAAACAAGCGTTGAATTATTTTACAACATAGTGACATTACTTTAAAAATATTATTGAATTATTACGCTTATACAAAACTATTGTTCTTTTTTATTTATTTATATGGCAACAGTTCCTTAAAATATGTAGTTATATATTATCATTTTTAAAAATGTGTCGCCTTATTCTCCAATATAAATTATAATGGCTCTTTTTAAAAATATAATTAAAACTAAATATTTGTAACATTGTTAAAAAAGCGTTAAAAAAATAACAATGTGATAAAATGTTTTAAAAATTATAATTATATAATGAAATATTTAAAAAAAATTCATAGCAATAATATATATGATGTTATTTTTAAAAAAATGAAATTAAATTACGACTCATATACAAAAGTGTCTACTTCTTTTAATTCCATGATGGTAAAATTTTTAAAAGGACTTTTAATGTAGTCATTTTCAACTTTATCTTAATAAAGCAAACTGCAAATAATTTATTTCAAATAATTTAAAATCATACTAATTGACTTGTATATATAATCATGTTGGACAATTGTTTTCATGATATCCAATACAAAACTCTATAGTCTAGTAGGACTAACGATTATAAAGTCATATTTATTCAGTTTATATGCATAATTTTAAACGAAAATATCATAGTTAAAAAAATAATATAAATAAAAGTATAAAATATCAATCAACCTAATAGTATAGTCGCCTAACACAAGAACTTTTGTATCCAATATATATGGTCTTGTATCCAACAATTGATTCGAGTTCGTTAATGTAGCCCACCTCGTTCGGAAGGGACCAAAGGTTCCACCTAATGTTCAAAAGGGACCGATGGCTCTACGGGAAGATCAAACATCACCTTAAAAAACCAACTTCATGCACCCAAGAACGCAATTCGGCAATTAATACTGACATCCCAAAGTTGTTTTGTGACCACATCTGATTTCTCTATATAATAAATTGCATAACTTATCTGTAATTCTTCAAGTTGGTTACTATCGTTTTTTATTTTTAATTTTTTTATGTGCTGATGTAAGACCGTGTTACATAATAATGTGGCGTTCATAAATTAGTCCGGTTCGGTCATGTCTTGCCCCGGGTTTAACAATATTATCTAATATCCAATTATCGTGGGGTTTGAGTTTGACTAATATTTTAAGAGATTCGAACTTATTTGGATGGTATTTAGTGTAAGATTTGACTCTAACGCAATCTTTATTGATTACATAATGTCATATTTTGATTTGATTTATGAATTAAGTGTTCAAGTGTATACGTCGGGAGAAGTACGTACGTTCTGTTTCGTAGATTAGTTCGGTTTTGGCTTGTGATTTAAAACGAGGCATTTCAACCTACATCACCATAGATACTTCAGGGACCGATTATCCATGCACATAAAAATTGGCAACATATGTTGAACATGATTTTGAGTTAAGATGACAATAATAATAATCAAAAAGAGAGAAAATCTTGTGTTGTGGCTAATTACACTACTAATTTGGACACAATTGTTGTTGCATAGCCTCTCAAACGCAGTTGTATGAGTAAAATAAGTTTATTGGTGACCTATTGAATTGGGTCTAAAAAAGAAAAAAGGTTACCAAGAATTGGCTACCCAGACCACTTTGTGACCTTGGGTCACGACAGGATTATGTGTTGGGAATAGGGCACTTGTCTTATTCTTATTGGTTGATTGTATTTTTAAGAAAAAAATAAATATAAATAATTTTTAAAGGATAATAATTGGTATTAATTTCTATTAAAAAATAAAAATATCAAAATTTTTGTTTTTTTATTCTCTATAAATAAAAATCACATTTGATACATTTTTTTAACAAAATTGCAACTTCTCTCTTTTCACTCTTTCCCTAATCATATTTATTAATTTTATCATCTCTTTCATTTTTTATAATTTCCAACCAATATCATATGGATCTTAATTTTCACGACTTTAATTATATATTTTTTATTTTATTTGTCACAGATAAAACAATAATAAAAATTATTTGTACATAATACTTAATAAATAAATAATTAAAATAAAATAAATATTTTAAGTTAGTTTGGTTGGGTTGGGGATAAAGATATCTTGAGTTATAAGGTTAGGGTACGTAGGTGGTGAGAGAGAAATAAATTTTATTCATTAGGTTGTGTTGTATAGGATTATGTGTTGGGAATAGGGCACTTGTCTTATTCTTATTGGTTGATTGTATTTTTAAGAAAAAAAAAATATAAATAATTTTTAAAGGATAATAATTGGTATTAATTTATATTAAAAAATAAAAATATCAAAATTTTTGTTTTTTTATTCTCTATAAATAAAAATCACATTTGATACATTTTTTTAACAAAATTGCAACTTCTCTCTTTTCACTCTTTCCCTAATCATATTTATTAATTTTATCATCTCTTTCATTTTTTATAATTTCCAACCAATATCATATGGATCTTAATTTTCACGACTTTAATTATAGATTTTTTATTTTATTTGTCACAGATAAAACAATAATAAAAATTATTTGTACATAATACTTAATTAATAAATAATTAAAATAAAATAAATATTTTAAGTTGGTTTGGTTGGGTTGGGGATAAAGATATCTTGAGTTATAAGGTTAGGGTACGTAGGTGGTGAGAGAGAAATAAATTTTATTCATTAGGTTGTGTTGTATTGGAGATATAGATAATCTAATACAACTTTACCAATAATAAAATAAATATAAATATATAGATCGAACCCGAAAACTCTTCCTCAAAAGCCTAATTTTTCTAGGACTATTAGTTAAAGTAGAATGTCCGGTGTTCCAGTTTGATTGGATATTTTCCTACTTGTAAAGACACTTTATTGAAAATCATATTATTTTGAGACATTGTTATCTTATGTCATTGATTATTACATATTTGCACATTTAATAAAGTTCTTATATCATTATTAGTTATGAGACATAGTTGCGCATTTGATGGCAATCATGGAACATGTTTTTTAATATATGATCTTAAATAAATTTCAAGTCGATTGTGTTTCGAGAAATGACATTGAATAACCCGGTAAGACTTGTGCATATGATGCATGCTTGTGGCATTCCATCAACATTAGCGTGTGGAGGCAAATCCATATAAAAAATACTACCACCCATTTATGGAACCGAAGAAAGCAAGGTGAATCTGGAGTGAAGAGAGGCATGGGATGCCTCACGAACGGAGCTAATACACAAGGGAGACGATGCCCTAGTCGGGTATCGCGACCGATAAGCGAACGCACTTTTCGAGACGTGAGTGTAAGCTCGTAACAAGCGGACAAGAAACAAGGGAAGGGAGGTAACAAAGAAAGGGAAGGCTGCAAAGGGTCATGTAGGTAGTAGCTTTCCCGGCTCAGGTAGGGTACCATGTTATTCTTTTTGTGCAGTTCGGATTATTAGTTCCCTTTATGGTTGGCTTTAAACTTAACAGAAAGAAGGAAAGTAAGCAGGCAGAGAAGGATCCCCTGATCGGGGAGCACGAGCGTATGGTACAGGCTTATATAAGTCTCATATCAATCTCGTATACTAATTAGTAATGAACACTGTGATTGTTTTACTTCGATTCTCTAGAAGTTGCTTAAACTGATTCCACTTAACATCAAAAGATGGCTTTTGATTAGAATCACTCACTTGAGTACCGCACAGAGTTTCAACATATATAGTTGTTGTAACATTTCATAAACTCTTTGACATTTTTATTTTTTTTTTTTTCCCAAAACGATAGATAATATTATAAATCAAAATGCACAAATGTGCGAATACACAGCAGCCAACGACTGAATACACAGCAGCCAACAGCTGAAAAAGTGGGAGGACAGGTCAGAAGACCGCCTAGAATCCCGACTAGCAACGCTAGAATAAAAACACTCGCAACTAACTAACCAACTACACAACTGCAAAACACAAACTAAACTAAAACAACTAAAAAGACATTTTTATTAACTTCACCAAATTGGCTATGTCTGGATATCTATCTTTAAAAAAGTCATTGCAAAGTGATGCTATTTTACGTGTATTCTCTCGACTTAATAGTTTACCATATACTTTTTGAATATCCTGTTCCATAGCATTAATTGTCTTCCCATAGATCAAAGGCATGAATAAGTTCTTGATAAGCTTTCTATTTAACTTCGATTCAATTGTTTCCCTCTGGTCATTATCGTTTAATCGAGAATACAAAAGTACCTTGAAATCCTGGAGTATGTATGTGTATACATCTTGTATTTTCCCTGAAGGATGGGGGATAAGATTGGTTCTTATTGCCATTTCTTCGTTAAGCAATGAGTAACTCATGATCTGATAAGCACTGACAGAGGCATCTTGGCTTATAGGTATTGTATTCCATTCTTGGTTAAGCGAATAACCCAAAGCTTTGGCTAGAAATTGAAATGGTTCATTTGCATCCTTTTGAAGTTGAAATGGTTCGTTTGCAGGTGCTTGTTGGGGAATAAGTTCATTGAACATGGCCCGATGAAAATTCTTAGTTTAAAGCTTTTAACTGTTGATTAAGAATTTTTATGTTGCATTAGTACATGACTGATCTTAAGACTTGAAGCACGATAAAAATCTTATGCATGTTGTGTTTTATTTTGATTTATCCTTTAATTGTTGAACAATCATAAAAGAAATATTTTGGGTATTGTATTAATGTATATACAAGTTTATCTGTGCCCAACATAGAATTTGATACTTAGTTGAATAAGTGAATTTTATATGTTTTTGATATTTTGTGATTCAAATAACTTGGCTAAGGCGAGATAAATATAAATTTATAGACACATTTATTAAATAATGGATTTTACGCGGTCTCGCGCGGTTGAGCGTTGTCTGCCTCGAGCGCTGGCTCGCGCTGTCGCGCGCCTTCTACCCCGTTGATCTTCTGTCGTGCTGCTTGCGACTCAACGTCATCCGTGCTTTTTGCGCGAACCTCTGCGTATTCGGTTGCTGCCACGCTATCCCGCTCGCCCATCGCCTGCCTGTTTGTCGACGGGTTATTGTACCTGCTCGTCGACGAGTCTCTGCGCGCTGCTCGTGTTGCCCTAACAGGTCGTTTGGCCTGGTGCCGAGACGCGACCTGGAGTACCAGTTACTGCAGGTGCCGCTCGTTGGCCCGTCGAAGAACGCATACGCAGCACCCCACTCTGGCGTTTTTGCTGGTTGATCCGGTTCGCAAGACGAGATGATCGAGACAAGGCGGTTCAATCGACAATCTTGGTGAGCCGATACTTGTGATATCTGGAAAATATTGCCCTATCTGTCACATATCCTCGAGATCCTCTTTCCATGTAACTCTGAACACGTCCTTGCCTTGGCGCCATAAATCAATCCTCTATCCAATGTGTTTTTACAATAAATAAGGAAATGAATCACAAGAAACTAGAGAAAAAGAGCAGGAAGATAAAAAAAAATTCTCTCTCTTTGATATCAAAATTCCCCAAATCGGAAGCCCAAACCCTAGGCCGACATCAGCACTTCTCTGCCTTCTCCAGCGGGATGCCGGGCGCTTCGACGGAGGATGACCCATGGCTGCACTGCCCTCTCCCTGTGGTGACGTCGTGCGTTCTCTCGAACCGGCGGGATGGACGGCGGGCTGCAAGGGGTTCTCGCCATTTATTTTGGTCGCTTCTTTGGGCCGGTGGTCGTCGATCTCCCGGGTGGCGAGGCTGTGGCATGCGTCGGTGCTTTAGATGGGAGAGGTCGTTGGCTCCGACGGCCAGATTGTGAGGGCCGATCGGAGTGAGGATCCTGGGTCTTCCCAATGTTCCCTTGGCATTTGGTGCGTGGGTTGAGGGGACTGCCGTCGCGATGAGTCCGGATCCGTGGTGTGGGCTGGGCTTGGTGGGGGTTCTGTTTCGGATTCCTCCGGCTGTGGGTGGGGCCGGCTGCTTGGGTGCGGGGTCGAGTTCTAGGGTCTATTTCCAGTTAAGTGCGTTTTCGTTTCAGTTTCTGGTTCTGGGGCCTGGGGCGAGTTCCGGCCGGTCCGTATGGTGGTCGGCCATTGTTGTTGCTGTCGTGGTTGCCTGGCGTTTTTCCGGCTGTGAGAAGGGGTTTATCTTGTTTTAGTTTATTTGTGTTTGTGTTTGTGTAGTGTTGTTAGTGTTTTGTTGTGTTTGGTTTGTGATTTGTGTTTTGATTTCTCCTTTTTTTGTGGAGCGTATTATTCTCCTCTGGAGAGTTCGTGTTATTCTACTGTGGGGAACTTTTATTTTTCTTGTTCGTATTGTAGTGTGCGTTGTGGTATCTAGGCTACCTTGGGTAGTCCTCTCATTCCGACTAATGAGCCGGTTGTAATTATGTGTTTAATGATTGAATTCTACTATTTCGAAAAAAAAAAATCACAAGAAACTATATTTAATAAAATCAAATAAACATAATAAATAAATGTACTTCCCTTTATTTTATCTTACTTTCTTTACAAATGACTACAAAGAATAGAAAAACAAACAAATTAGAATGATGACAATTTAAATTTCTAACAAAATCTAACCAGTTAGCATTGCTAGTGAAACTGGCTAGAGATCATTTGTTATTATAGCAGTTTATTAATATAGACGTGACAAACTAGCTAGAGAATATATATTGTTTGGTTAGTGGAGAACTTTCATGTGACAATTCCATGTTTTACAAGACGGTTGGAGAAATTGGCCGACCACAGTCAAACAAACCAATGTAAAGTATGATTCTCAGTATATTAAAATATAGTATTCTGCGTTGGACGCAAATGTGCGCGCTTTACAACTGAAATTCGTAATTTGTATCGTGGCCCAGTTGACCAAACTTTAAGCGTTGGACTGATCCATTCCGTTTGGTTATAGTGTATGGGTATATCTTACCATACAATTTGAAATAAATTAGATTTGTAACCCGTTTATTAAGTTTCTTATAGAAAAAACAATAATAATCTATATCTATATATATATAATTTAGAACAACAACATTTAATTTTATTATCATGCATTTAATTTTATTATCCCTCCAAAAATTTCAGCATTCAACTTTATTCATTTCAATTCTCGTCTAAAACTGTTACACATATTTGATTCATTTCAGCATTCAATTAATATATTAATTACATGTATTTTTCAGCTAAATCATCCTATTATATTAAAATGTTTTTTTTCTTCTCCTCCAGAAATTTTAAATTTATTAGGTCCAGTAAACTACAATCTCATATTACATTGACATAAAACGTAGTAAACATTGATATATACTAATTTAAGTTGCAAAGTATTGAACAAGAAATTAAATTACAAAATTACTAATTTAAATTGACACAAATATCAATATCCAATTTTCTCTTGATATGGACCTGCAAAATAATGAAAAATAAATTAATAAATTAAAATTTACCTTCACAAATAAAAATTAGCATTCTTTTTTTTCATAATATCATGCTATTCTTACACAAACACGATTGTATCAATAAAAAAATTCAAAGTCTGCTATCAACCATCTCAGATTTTTTTATATAGATTATTATTATTAAATATAGGATACTGAACCAAAAGCAACAAATAAAACAAAGATTGAAATTTATTTTTTCTATTTTATTATTTTCCCAACAAACGTATCAAATTGTGGAATGTGCATGCTCTGATTTTAAAAAATTCTTACACAAATACATAATACTCTTATATAATACACACCTATCATGCATAATAATGATAATAAATGTAACTGCAGGGCAGTATTTTTATTTTATTTTTTTCTTTATTCTATTATCTTTAATCATGCCCAAAAAACGTATCATGTCCAAAATACATAATACTCTTATATAATACACACCTATCATGCACAATATATAATAAATTATATTTTTTTAATTTATATTTTTTTCATGAATTAAATTATGATTATGTATTTTTGTGTTGGTATGGCTCATATATTGACAAAGGAAGGGGGCAGGTTGATGCCTGCTCGTTCCACTCGCTTCGCTTCCCTCGCAGCCCCTGTTAGGCTGGGTCGATTAGCTGGGCCGGGGGTGCGGGAGCGGAGCCCTCGCGGTACGGTACGGGGTATTTATGTAAATTTATACCTTGTAAGGTTATGATATAAATACATTGTGTATTGATGTATTTGGGATCACTGCTCCGCTGTGGACGTGGCACATTGCCGAACCACGTAAATCTTGTGTTATTTACTTTCTCGTCTTTAATTCGTATTGTCCTCGTTTCACAACATTTTGTTTTTTCATTTATATTGTTATCGTTTCTAATTATTCTCATGCGTGCAAATACACGGGTTGATTACTAGTAATAATTAATATAATGATATAACATATAAAGATAACTCAGTTGAACCGATCACGACTAGTTGGGTCTATAAGCAAAAGATTAGCTAGGTCAGTCGGTTTACGAGTACGAGTATGAAATAATATTACTCAAAACTCATGGGTAAATATTTCTTTAAGGATAAATGTAATGTTATAATAATAATTCAATAAAAAGAAAAACCACCAACTACTATATAAAGTGGAATTAACCATATAATAAATCCCAACGCGTTTCCTTTTCAATGGTTTATTTATATAAGTTATTATTAAAATTTTTTCTTATATTTTTGTCATGCTTTACAGCAAAGAAAGGAATTAGAAAAAAGGTGGGGTCCCGAAAATATCCTTTTCATAGTTTGGTATTTTTAGCACTTTTGTCAAAGTAGCCGTTGGCCCTCAGCTCCTCTTTTCTCTTTTTTTAAATATTAGTAAATAGTTTTATCATTTTATAAAAGATGAAATATATCTACTTATGATATATGTATGAAATAATAATCATTATGTCTTGTGGACATAATTACCTTATACTACAAGGAGAAAATAGCTACTATTTATACTTTCACAAAAATGGTTATATATTTCAGTGTTTATTTATCATCTGGTACAATTAAGACACAGTTTTTCTTTTCCTCGTACAATTTATTTACTACTTGATGGAGACGAGATCGCGATGGCATTTCTGTAGAAATATGATCGAATGTCTTTTTTAATTTAATTAGTTATTTCCAAGCTTTTTATTATTTTCCCTTATTTTCTTTATTTTAGTTGATATTTGTTTAAGTGTTATTTCTTTGTTTAGCGTGATTAGAAAACCTAGTATTTATCCTCTTCCTTTCTCTGTTCAAGGCAGACATCGTATAATAAAAATTAAAGATTTCTGAGATTTCATCTCTTGTTTCCCTTTTGTTCGAAGCTGCGCTACATCAGTTGGTAATCAGAATCAGCTACGATCCACGATGCCTCCCAAGAGGAACGATCTGGCTGACGACAGACGAGATGCTGCAATTGCCTCCCTCACTCGCCAAAACGAGGGTTTTGACCGGCAATTTCAGGCGATCGATCGTGAGTTGGCGGGACTGACGGAGGGCATGGAGGACATCAAGCTGGCTCTCCAATCAATCATGCAACGCGACGGCATGCACCGCGACGGGCTCGATGGCAGAGGCGGCGGTCGCGGGGGAATGTGTGGTGGCCGCGGGGGTCGTGGTCCACCGCATGGTGGTGGCAGGCAGCGGGCGCCGTGCGAGGAGGAGGGCGGCGACGACTCTGATGCCACGGAGGAGGAGTACAATCCGTTCGGAACGACGGAGCCACGGAATGACGGCGCACCAGCCGGTGAACGGCGATGGGAGGCGGCCTTTCGCGTGGAGATTCCTGAATTTGCCGGCGGACTCGACGGGGCTGATTTTCTTGATTGGCTGGGTTCGGTCGAGTCGGTGTTGGATTACAAGGAGGTACCGGACAACCATCGAGTGGGTCTCGTCGCAACTCGACTGCGCGGGAGTGCGATTGCTTGGTGGCTACACCTCACGGATTCACGACAACAGATGGGTAAACCTAAGATTAAATCGTGGGCCAAATTCCGGAAACACATTGAGCGGGAATTCCTTCCCTTCAATTATGTGAGTACTATGTACCAACAACTTCATAATTTGCGCCAGGGTGCTTGATCCGTAGACGAGTATACCAATGATTTCTATCGCCTTCTTAATCGGGTTAAGCTACGTGACACACCGGCTCAATTGGTGTCGCGTTATGTTGGCGGATTGAGGGTCGGCATCCGCGACATGCTGAATATGTTCGCTCCTGACAGTGTTGCAGCCGCTCATCACTGGGCATTACTGATTGAGCAGCAACAATGCGGACGTCCGACTCCGCCAACCGGTTTTCAGTCCCGCACATACCTGCTGGCGTCCTCACCGGCTGCTCCAGCGCGTTTAACGGCGTCGGGCAGGCCGCCGTTCGGCCGTAACAGTGCACCAGGGACGCTTGATTTGCCGGCCGCGGGTGGGTCGTCACATGCGGCTGTCGGGTTTGGTCAGTCACAGGCGGCGGACGGGTCGCGATTGGGCAGTGGGCCGCGTTACTTTTCTTGCGGCGAGGCGGGTCATCGGCAGTCGACTTGTCCACGGCGGGGTGGGTCTCTTGCCTTGGTGACGGATTTTGATTTTGAGGGTACCGGTGGAGGAGTGTATGAGGGACCGCCGGTTTTTGAAGAAGAGCCCGAGCCATTTGAGGAGCATTTGATGGGGGATGTGGGCCTGACGTTGGTTATCCGATGTTCGTGTTTCTCTCCCCGGGCACCTCCTGAGGTCTCTCTCCAACGCCATAATCTTTTTAAGTCAACTTGTACAGTGGGCGGGAAGGTGTGTCATTTCATTATTGACACTGGCTCTTGTGAAAACGTGGTAGCTCAGGATGCCGTCAATCGCCTAAATTTATCAACCGAACCACATCCTCACCCTTACACTTTGGCTTGGATCCAGCGTGGCAGTTCCATTACGGTGGATCGATGGGTTTTGGTGCATTTCTCGATTGGCTCTAAGTTCCGGGACACGGCGTGGTGTGACGTTGTCCCCATGGACACGTGTCATCTCCTGTTGGGTCGTCCTTGGCAGTTCGACCGTGCGGTGGTCTATGACGGGCGCCTCAACACTTATAGCTTCTTATTTGAGGGCGTTCGACTGGTACTTCATCCTTCACCCCCTCGCCCTTTATCTACTGACAATTCTTCGTCGATTCTTTTTCTCTCTCGTGCAGCTTTTGTGGGAGAAATGAAGACGGCCCCCTTTGTCCTTTTACTCCTGCGAACTGACGTAAGGTCTAAGGTTTCGCCACCTCCCGTTGTTCAGCCTTTACTTGATGAGTTTTCTGATGTTTTCCCGGAGGAGCTACCTTCGGGACTTCCACCACTTCGGGACATACAACATCAGATCGATTTAGTGTCGGGTGCTTCTCTGCCCAACCGTCCACATTATCGTATGAGCCCGGCAGAACATGATGAGCTGCGTCGTCAGGTGGAGGAACTCTTACAACGTGGTGTTGTTCGCCGTAGCTTAAGCCCGTGTGCTGTTCCAGCCTTGCTCATTCCGAAGAAGGACAACTCGTGGCGCATGTGTGTTGATAGTCGTGCCATCAACAAAATCACGGTTCGTTATCGGTTCCCCATTCCCCGCCTTGACGATCTGTTGGACCAGTTACATGGCGCTACGGTCTTTACCAAGTTGGACCTCCGAAGTGGCTATCATCAGATTCGCATCCGGCCAGACGACGAATGGAAGACAGCTTTTAAGATCCGTAAGGGTCTTTTTGAGTGGCTTGTGATGCCTTTCGGTCTTTCGAATGCGCCCAGTACATTCATGCGAGTGATGAACCAGGCATCACGGGACCTTATTGGGCGTTGCGTTGTCGTTTATTTCGACGATATTCTCATCTATAGCCGGATTGTGGGGGACCATTTAGTTCATATTCACTCGGTTCTTCAGATTTTACGGGCTGAGTGCTTTTATGCGGTGCCCCGGAAGTGTTCTTTTGTCGTTGAATCGGTTTTTTTTTTTGCCTTCGTTATTTTGTCTCGCGGGATTCGCGTCGATGAGGGCAAGGTCGCCGCTATTCGCGAGTGGCCCGCGCCAACTTCTTTCACGGAAGCTCGCAGCTTCCACGGCCTTGCCTCTTTCTACCGTCGTTTCATCTCCCACTTCAGCTCTATTACTGCACCGATTACGGACTGTCTCCACGGCAAGACGTTCGTATGGACTCCTCAGGTGGCAGAGGCGTTTGCCCTTGTCAAGGACAAGCTTAGGACCGCTCCGCTTTTGGCTCTTCCAGATTTTTTTATCCCGTTCGAGCTCTCATGTGATGCTTCTAAAGTTGGCATTGGTGCGGTTCTCAGTCAGAATGGGCGGCCCGTCGCCTTCTTCAGCGAGAAGTTATCTGGCCCTCGCCTGAGGTACAACACTTATGATGTTGAGTTCTATGCTGTTTTTCGTGCTGTTCGATATTGGCGTCACTATCTCTTTCAGCGTGAGTTCATCTTTTTTACCGACCACGAGGCTTTGCGCCATCTCTCTTCTCAGGACAACATTTCCGCCCGCCATGCGACGTGGGCCTCTTATTTGCAGCAGTTTACCTTCATGTTGAAGCATCACTCGGGTGCTTCTAACCGTGTGTCGGATGCTTTAAGCCGCCGTTCTTTGTTGCTCACTGACATGCGAGTGTCGGTTGTTGGCTTTGACTTATAGCGAGATCTATATGCTTCTGATGATTTCTTCGGGCCCGTGGTATTGCGCCTCGCTTCGGGCCCCTTCGAGGATTATACTCTTTCTGATGGCTTTTTATTTCGCGGGGTCCAGTTGTGTCTTCCTGATTGTAGCCTTCGCATGAAGGTTGTGGCGGATTTGCACGGAGTTGGCCACGTGGAGCGTGATCGCTCCATTGATTTGGTACGTCGTTCTTTTTTCTGGCCTTCTTTACGCCGTGATGTTTCTCGTTTTGTTGGGCGTTGTCGGGTTTGTAAGGTGTCCAAGGGCGTTGCTTCTAACGCGGGGCTTTATCGACCCTTGCCTATTCCTTCTCGTCCATAGAGTGCTATTAGCATGGATTTTGTTTTCGGCCTGCCCCGAACCCAGCGGGGTCATGACTTTATCTTTGTTTTCGTCGACCGCTTTTCAAAGATGGTCCATTTTATACCTTGCAAAAAGACTGCCGATGCTGTCCACGTGGCTCAGCTTTTCTTTCGCGAGGTATATCGTTTGCATGGTCTTCCGACTTCTATTGTTTCTGACCGTGACACGCGCTTTCTTAGCTATTTCTGGCGTAGTTTGTGGCGCCTGGCTGACACGAAGTTGGAATTCAGTAGTGCGTACCATCCTCAGACTGACGGTCAAACAGAGGTCGTCAATCGCTCACTTGGCAATATGTTGCGCTGCCTTGTGGGAGACAACCTGCGCAGTTGGGATCAAAGTTGGGCCAGACGGAGTTTGCCCACAATTCGGCCTTGAGCCGGGCGACCGGGTTTTCTCCTTTTGAGGTGGTGTATGCCATCTGACCAAGTGGAGCCGCGGACCTCATTGCGCTACCTTCGTCGGCGGGCGCCGACCGTCGTGCCGAGGACCTCATGGCCGACCTGCGGCGTACTCACGACGCGGCCCGGGCGCGTTTGGTGGAGGTGACGGCGGGCTATAAACGGCGGGCTGATTCCCGTCGCTGCCACGTCGAGTTCAATGTCGGGGATTTCGTGTGGCTAGTGCTCACCAAGGATCGTTTCTCGGTTCATGACTACAACAAATTGTCGGCCCATAAGATTGGCCCGGTTGAGATCGTTGAGAAAATTAACCCAAACGCATACCGCCTCCGGCTTCCCTTGCATTTGAAGACTTCTGACGTATTTAAGGTCAAGCATCTCGTGCCATTCTTGGGTGATAATTCGGACGGAGACGATATCGATCCGGATTCGAGGGTGAATCCTTCTCAACCGGGGGAGGATGATGGAGACGAGATCGCGATGGCGTTTCTACAGAAATATGATCGGATGCCTTCTTTAATTTAATTAGTTATTTCCTACCTTTTTATTATTTTCTCTTATTTTCTTTATTTTAGTTTACTTGTTTAAGTGTTATTTCTTTGTTCAGCGTGATTAAGAAACCGTATTTATACTCTTCCTTTCTTTGTTCAAGGCAGACATCGTATAATAAAAATTAAAGATTTATGAGATTACCCTTTTGTTCGCTACATCACTACTCAAATATATAATCGCTCCTTTTCCCAACAGAAATCCGTGTTTTCAAACTTTATCTATTTATGAACTGTACACATATACTGAGTCTGTTGTTCTTGAGGATATTTCCTTCAAATCTTTCTAAATTATAACAATATAACACAGCTATAAACACCTTTACACTCTTCCTTTCTTCTCCAATTCTACTTGCACAAATACCTGAACCTATTTTTTATCAACAATCTCATCTAATCTAATAAATCCACCCCTCAATTTCTCACATCACAATAAAGATCAGATTTTTCCAAAACAAAAAAACACAAAATGTTGAAAAAATCCGTTAATCATAACACCATCCTTTCACCTCCATTGTCGTCTCCAAGTTCAAATCCAAGCAGCACGACGACGGAGGAGCCAGACGAGAGCCCTTCAAATTCTTTCCACTCCTATTCTCCCCAACACTTTACCCCAAACAACAAAATCCCCTTCTCCCAACCCTACAAACCCCTCGCCATCCTCAGAGGCCACGTGGCCCCCGTCTCTTCCCTCGCCCTCTGCGGCGAGTTCCTCATCAGCGCCTCCCAGGGCAGGGACATAATCGTCTGGCAAAATCCCCATCTCAAAATCTTCACCAGATTCGGCCACGGGGACGGGTCGGTCAAATCCCTAGTCGCCCTCGGCCACAAAATCTTCACCGCCCACCAAGACGGCAAAATCCGTGTGTGGAAACTCTCCTCCACGACTTCCGAGAACGTTTTCCGGCTATCAAACACCCTTCCTACCACAAGTGACTTTCTGCGCAACTTCATGAAACAGAAGAGCTACGTCCAGACCAGACGCCACCACAAGCGCCTCTGGATCGAGCACGCAGACACCATATCCTGCCTGGCCGTGTCAAACGGCCTAATATACTCCGGCTCCTGGGACAAAACCTTAAAAATCTGGCGAATCTCGGATTTCAAGTGCATTGAGTCCGTAAAAGCACACGATGACGCCATAAACAGCATCGTGGCCAGCAACGGCGTTGTTTACTCGGCCTCGGCCGATGGGAAAATAAAAGCTTGGGCTAAAAAAGGCGGTAATAATAGTAAGCAGCAACAGCAGCATATCTTGAGGCAAGTCCTGGAAGGGCGAAATCGGGTTTCTTTGAATTGCGTGGTGGTGTGGGGTGATGGGGGGTTTGTTTATGGAGGGGGT